CCCCAAAACCCCAAAACCCCAAAACCCCAAAACCCCAAAACCCCGCGCATTCATTTTAGTTGTGATATAAAGTAGTAGAATGAATAAATTATTGTGCAAATATTAATTATTGCAAAGTAGAGAATGACTAGGAGATCCTTCAAAAGTAGAAGGATTGAAGAAGTAATTATTGAAAAGTCTATTTATTCACTAGGAGAAGTGATCTTTTAGATTTTCTTCAAATCATACATTAGAAAAGTCAAAGTGCTTTGATTTAGTGTTATTTGATGTATAACCGGCATTGATTCCTTTTTTAGGGTGCAATGATGATGAAGTATTTTGTAAAGACGACTAATTTTACTAATTTCCCTCTTTCAACATCGTATCTTTCTACAGTTATGCATTAGTTGTGGTTTTCGGTCCTTATGATGTACAGTTTGAGTTTGTGCTTATTCCAAGCCCACTTCTCTTCCCGTTCAAGTTATCAATTTAACTTGATGAGCTAGAGGGAGGGATATTTTCTTTCCTTTTGTCTTGACCATTTCTACTCACTGGTGGTTATAGCACTAAAGAGCTATCATTTGATTACTTACTCATAGTTCCCTTTTTATTTTTATTTTTTCCTGAGTGTTTGCCTGTTCCAAAGACTGAATGTTTAAAGTTGTTGAAAGCAATCATAACTACTGTAACATTATCAAGAGTTCTTCTAAGTAATGAATTCTTGAGAATGTATTCAACAGCCATCCCACTTTATTTATGAATATTTTGAGCGAATCCAAGTGTTTTATTATCGTTTACACTGTTCCAGACACATGCCATTGTATCTTAGTTATTTAGTTTATCGAAAATACCATCACATCCTAGAATGACAAAGTCATGCTCATTCGAAATTTTAAATGATTTGATTTCAGGGTCTGCAATGACAACTTTTGGATTTCCACCTGTTTTCAATAGCTTGGCCTCAGCATCTCCAAAAGTTCTTGAAACTGAAAGTCTTCCTGGAAGAACTCTAAGAGGCCCTACAACTATCTCTTTTTTATTGGGATTATTCTGATCTGGATTTGTAGTTGCTGTACGACTAAAATCGATATTAAATCAAGTTAGATATTACTGATAAATTTAGCCTCCTGCTTCAATGATTCTTTTTCTTTCTAATTCATCACAAGGCTTGTGATCCCTGCTCAGTGGATATAATTTATTTCCTGATTCACTAATAAAAGCTGAAAGTTTAAGAAATTACCTTGAAAGAATAGCTCTTGAATCCCCAACATTTGCAATATAACAATTATCTTCAACAATTAATGCAACTATGGCGCAAGATCCACTTTTATCTATAACTCCACTTTCATTTTAACATAATTCAAGGAATTTCTTTTCTGCATTTGCAAATCCTATTCTAATTGCTTCTTTAGGGTCACTTGGAAAGCTTTGTTCTTTTATCACAAATTGATGTAAATTATCTCTTAGGAAATCAGCACAAGCACTTCCACCATGCCCATCATATATTCCAAAGAATGAGCATCTAGGCCAATTCTCATCTTTTCTATTCGGCGGTTTGAGTATATTTAAGATGATAGAGACTCTGTCTTCATTATAGTTTCTTACTAATCCTTAATTAGTATTTGCCGCATAAGCTCTTACTACTCCATTTCTCTTAACAGAATGCTTAGTAGATTCATGATTTGGAATGATGATTTTATGTGCTGGCTAAAGAGGCATGAAATCAGGATTATCTGAGGTACTCTAACTTTTTGCATCTTTTGATTCTTCAGTTAGATTGTCTAGATCTGGAGTTTTCTTTTATTGCGAAAACATATTTTGCTTTTATGCATTATTCCTAGTTGAGTGGCAAGTAAATTTACTTAATTTTATATTTCCTTAATTAGCATTTGTAGTTGATAAACTACCTGAGTGAATATTATTAGCTTTTGCTTATAGTTAGGGATTTTATATGATTGTTTTATCTTGCTCACTTTTTTCTTCTGCTTAAACTTTAGGAATTTCGTTTCTTGGAGAAGAGGGAATAGAGATTTACAAATTCTTTGGTTTTATTTTTAGCAAACTTTATTTTTCTGCTTCCTATATCGCCTTAGCCATTGATCTTTACCTAGAATTGGTAAGTAATTATTGAGGTAATTATTGTTATTAATGCTATTATTACTGCTATAAGGTTTGCTAGTGCTGATTCAAATTAGACTTTGAATTTTATTGTTGTAAATGTTTCTAATGATTCTGAAGGACGCTTTAATTGTTTTGATCAGGAGTTAAATTAATATTATGATGGTTGAAATCACTTTCATTACCTTTTGACTTTGAAGATTGATGATGGCCTTTATTGTTATTAAAAAGTTAGTTAAATTATCTAAGATTATTGAAATTTCTTAAGTTAGCTGCAGTAGTAGTTTTTGGTATTTATGTACCGACTTTTACCAATTCAGCTGATGAATTACTTTGCATTTATTATTGCTAATGCTGATGCTAATTTATAAGTTTATTGCTATTAATATCGTTATTTTAGATTTGAGAATTAGAATTGATATTATTGATATTTTAGATAAGTCTGTTAGCGTAAGAACTTGAAGCTGTTGAAGATGATAACTAAGCTCCTTAGGAGCCTTAAGTTCCTTGATTTAGTTGAGAATTTGAAAGCTATGATCTATGTTTAGCCTAGAGCAGAAGAGATGATGAGTAATTTGCTGTCCCATTTAAAGCATTCGTGCTTGTTGTATTCTTTGGAGTTGAAGCCGTTAAACCAGTTCGGTGAGTAAATTGACTAGAGTTGTTATTTTATTGGTTTTGATTTCCGCCTGTAACTTAACTGTGAGGGTTCTAATAATTTATCATTCTGCTACTATGTAAATTTTATGTTGTCTGTGGTATTCCGATGCTAGTTTGATTAATTAAATTGGTATTAAGCTTTAGATTAGGTTTTCTTGTTATTGCCCCATTGAAAGATAAACTTCCATTTCCAATCACTGTCAATTAACTATTTCCCCCTATTTTCTCATTACTTTGCGGCCTTAATACAGTTTAAGTTGTTGATGATGATTTCATATTTTCTATATTTGAAATATGCTTTTATTTTTAGGATGAAATGTAGTCACTGTGCTAATGCTAATGCTTATGGTCTTATGATCTGTGATTATGCAAGATGGCATTAATCTTGTGAATTTTTTCCTCTTCCAGAAATGTCTTTATTTTTTGATTTTGTTGCTGAGTTTGCTCAGTAGTTTATGATACATTCGACATTATGAATTAATATTTTAAATTCTTGACAGTTGATTATTAGATATTCACAGAATAATTTAAACATTGTATTAAAATAATTTTTATTAAACTTAAATTTTTCATACTTCATTGAAACATCTATTTCTTTCAAATATTATAAACTTGCACAATTAAACTCAAACCATCATAGTTATAACTCCTCATATTTCAATCGTATTTTTCTTGGGCTTGATTATTTTCTTCAAAGTCTGTAATTCCTTTTTTATGGCATTTTCTGTCTCATCCAACTTTTTGAATCTGTAGGTAGCTTCATCAAATTAAGATTTGAGTTTTTCATCTAGCTCATTTTCCTTTGAATTTAAGAACTATTCACTCTAATGTGCTTTGTTTATCAATATCTCTTACTTCTTTTTTCTGAATTCCTCTGCTTATTTTTCCTTCTGTTATCGATGAAGTTGTTACTTAAATTGATATTCTTAAAGGGCCTTCATACTATTTTCCTATGCCAATCTAATCTATTCTTCCTGTTCTTTGATTCTTAAAGCTCTTCTATACTCTTTATTTTCAATACTTCTTTCTCTTATTTTTTCTTTCTCCTCCTTAATGACCTTAACTTCCTTAAGTCTAGAATTAAACTCTCCTTATTCCCTCAAATAGTCTAGTTCAAGTTCTTTTTGTCTCTTCTCTTCTTTCAATCTTTCTTGCTTATCTAGCTAAAAGAGTAAATATTTCTACTGCATTTTAAGTCTCGCTATTTCATATTCTCTTTCCTTGGCTTATTATGTTTTCTGCTGAATATTGACAGATTAATCGAGTTGAACTTTATAAGACTTTTATATTGCAATTTGTTTTTAAACTAGCAATTATTATTAAACTGATGGAGTCTTGTCTTTTTTAGTGGGAGAATTATTTTAACTGCTTTATTTAGATGGTGATTGTCTCTAAGATATACTACTATAAGGTGTTATAAAATTAAATCTTTTCTATGTAGAGTCAAATAAACATTTGTTTGCATTGTTTTATGGAGATAGGAAATTTGATAATGATTCACTTTAAACAATCGATTTTGCTTGAATAGTTTATTTAAAATTTTCTTGGTTATTTTGCCTCTTTTACTGATTATTAAGCTTATTAAGATCTCTAAAAATTTCAATTGTATCAGTTGTGAATCTAAAGATAGGATTAGAGCTATCGGTAATTTCAAAGATTACCTCCTTTCTCTCATCAAATTTCTTAAAAAGTTAGAATTTCTAAATCTATTTCAGAATTGATTCTCTTCTCTCAAAGAGTACTCTAAATTTCTGAAGTGAGTAAATAACTCTACCATGATTACTCAAGTATTTACAAATATCATCTATTGATCTTTTAAGAAGATCGCTTTTATCATTATTAAGTGGTATATTTTCATCAACTGTTGCTACTATCAATGCAAAGATGTAACTTAATTCGTAGTCACTTTGCTAATGATAAAGTGTTTTACTTTTTAAAAACTAGGCTATATTTCTAGCATTAACTTATTAGAGTGTTGAAGTCATATCGTCTTTGAGTTAGTCCATTGATCTTTAATAGGATGACTCTTCTAGATTAATTGTTTCATTATCGATATTGTGGCATGGACTCAGAGCCAATCCTCTTTCAAGAGATCCATGTTTACTATTGAAGTTACTTCTAAGTACTCTCCTAACTTTTGATTCTGTGTTTACAATTATGTGTTTTAGGATCTTGGAGTTTACATTTGTGTTTACTTATTTAATGCCGGATTGCTCTCTTGAAGTTTTTATTGTTTAGTTAAGCTTTTAAGAGAGAGATGGACTTCTGCTTTACACTTATGAGCTATAAGTTAGTTTATGGTTCTCTATATTGTTTGTGTATTACTGTAATTTAACTTGCTATTTTTTAGGAATTTAGCCCTTAGATTTTTTAGTTATTCTGTCAAGTTCTAAAATATCATCTTCTAATTTTTCATCCTCTGGTACTAAAGCGAGAGTCTCATAGTTGTTAACTATCTCAAATAACTCACCTCTTACTGTTTCCTTTAAGGTCTCATTTAGTTTTACTTTTGATTTATCATCAATAAACTTGCTTTGTTTAAGAGATCCATTAGGATTAATGCTTGAGTAGTGCTAGTTACTTTTGTAATTTATTTTCGGCTATTATCTATTTTAATTAGAACTAGCTTTATAATTCTTTGTAAGAGTAGATTGAGCGACTGCAGGTCCTCCACCCATACTAGTTATCATTGAACTTTTAAGTGATTTATCATTTGGTGTCTAGATCTGAGTAACACTCTTTGCAAGCATATTTTTCTTAGAGAGCTTCAATTGTGAATTAGACTTTTACTTAGACACTCTTCTAGATTCAGGCTCGATTTCATAGTCAGAGCTGTCTAGAATTACACTTCTTTATTATTTTATATAATTTTAGCTTTAAGGTCTCTCTTCGTTGATAGCCATTTGGTCTTCATTAAAGTTTGAATAGTCTAATTGAGAGGCGAGAAGTTACTCCCTATTTGTATCTTAGGTTTTAGCAACGGAGGCCTGATCATCTTAAATCTGTTTCATGAGAACAATATTGTCTTCACCAAAAGTTTGATTATTATAAGCCTTTTCTAACTCCTCAATGATATTGCTTTTCTTTCGATTAATATTATGAAACATTTCAGATTCATTGATTTCTCTAGTGAAAATTTAATGCTAAATTTTAGCAATTTTCGATTTGGCTGAGCTAGACCGATCCTTAGTTTATGATTTTCTTCTACTTTGCTCATTTTCAATCAATTCTGATGCTTCTTGCTTTTAAAAAAACTACCTTTTCGATTGGATAATCATTCTCAATTGCTGCTTAGTATCATTATCAAGACTCAATAGTTTAGTATTTATGTATTGAGATACTTGCTGGCTCATCCCTTTGGTCATAGGTTCGTAAACAGTGTTTTTTTAATAGGGATGTATTGCCGAATTATTTACAGAGGCAGACTCCAAAACCTTCATTAGCAATATTAAGTATTTTAATTTTATTTCGTTTGTTAAAATCTGCCAATCTACAATAAAATTCTGACCTGCGGGGTTTTGGGGTTTTGGGGTTTTGGGG